TATTCCCAAATTGTGTATCCTTCCTTTCCAACTTATGCAGTAGCTCGCCCATGGTGGAAACTCTGTCCTATCTAAACGATCTCCAGTCACTGTCTGGTTGAAAGTGAATGCTTCCACCGATTACGAATACTGAAGCAGTCTTTCTGAAACCACGTACGCCGTTCAAGCTGGCTTCCTTCAACGTTCGCACACTAATGCAGATCGGACAACAGATGGGGTTGGCTATGTCTTTAGAAAGTCCTAATGTTGATGTTTGCTGTCTATCCGAGACCCGTATTCAAGACTCTAGTGAAGTACTACAAATTCATTCTCCATCTGTCGCTTCGAAAAGCTTGTTTCACGTGCGCTTATCCGGGGACTCTGTGGCATCTTCGTCCGGTCTTGCAGGCGTTGGTGTTGCACTAAGTGCTAGGGCTGAGGCAGCACTAATCGATTGGATCCCCATTAACAGTCGGTTATGTGCTGTTAGATTAGAAAGTTCCATCAAAGTGAGAAGAAACCAGAGTGAGAAACGGTGTCTTTTCGTCATCTCCGCCTATGCCCCGACAGATTGCAGCCCGGATGCAATCAAGGATGAGTTTTACCACCAGTTAACAGTTCTTCTCCAGAAAGCGCGTTCGACAGATATTGTAGTATTAGCCGGAGACTTGAATGCTCAGGTCGGGTGTCTAGGCACAGAAGAGAGTCGTTTAGGTGGTCGATGGGGACTTGTTGGTCGCAGGACAGATAACGGGGACCGTTTGCTGCAACTGTGCACAGACCACAACCTGTTTCTGGCTAGCACTAACTTCCGGCACAGTCATCGCCGGTGTACCACCTGGCGTCCTCCCTCTGTATCTCAAGCCTGGACTCAGATTGATCACATCGCGATCAGCTACCGCTGGCGTGGTTGTGTTCAAGACTGCCGCTCCTTTTGGAGTACCTATCTAAAGTCTGATCATGCCCTGGTCTGCGCCAATCTCACCTTACTTTTCAGTGGCCGAAGGATTGACCACCACCAACGGATCGATGTTAGTAAACTGGCTGCAACTTCTGTTGCAAGTAAGTATCGAGCGGAACTAGCCTCTAAGCTAGCTAACACCCCACCGAAAAGTATAGATGAGCATTGGTTGCATCTTCACGACGCCATGAAAATGGCGAGTAAAGCCGCTTGCGGCTTCGCGAAACGTCCCGCTTACAAGCACTGGGTTTCTTCTGGCTCCTTACAACTCATCGAAGCCCGTCGGTCTACTCCGGGTGACCGTGAGTTTGACCACAAACGAAGGCTGTTACGTAATGAAATCGGGCAAAGCTTGCGTAGGGACCGAGAAGCCTGGTCGTCGGAGAGTGCTAATGAGATGGAAGCGGCAGCTGCATCTGGTAACTGCCGGAAGCTCTTCCAACTCATCCGAGCCACTGGCAGCAAGAAGTCTGGTGTGAGTGAAACAATCTACGAGGATGACGGGATGCCAATCACTAACATCTCTCGACATCTTGGACGATGGGCGGAATTTTTCGAAGGGCAGTTCAACTGGCCTGCTGCTCCGGCAACATCAACCAGTTTGTCCTGCCCCCATGGCCGGTGACGACTGATCCACCAAACGAGGCGGAAGTCCGCAAGGAACTCCAACTCTTGAAGCGCTACAAATCACCTGGCCCAGATGACTTACCTCCAGCTCTTTTTAAAGTTGGTGGTGACTTTCTGGCTAAGTAACTGACGGTGTTGTTTGCAAAGGTTTGGGAGCAAGAAAGTGTTCCAACATCATGGAATGAGTCAATAGTCGTCCCTATCTTTAAAAAGGGTTCACGTTGTTCCTATAACAACTATCGGGGGATAAGTCTACTTCCGATTGCGTCCAAACTATTGGCTTCTGTCATTCTTCGTAGGTTGTTTAAAACCCGAGAACGATTGACTCGCGAGGAGCAGGCTGGTTTTCGTTCTGGTCGAGGATGCATTGATCACATCTTCATCCTCCGCCAAATGTTAGAACACCGTCATACTTATCGCAGGCCAACAATCGTAGTGTTTCTTGATATCAGGGCGGCCTTCGATTCATTGGACAGGACTGTTCTCTGGGATTGTCTATTGAAGAAGGGTGTGCCTGAGAAGTTCATTAACATCTTAAAGGCCCTGTATACGAACACCTCAGGCAGAGTGAGGGCATACAACCACCTTTCTCCCTTGTTCCATTCGAGCAGTGGGGTTAGACAGGGTTGCCCGATCTCACCATTCCTCTTCAACTTTGCCATCGACGACATCCTGGAAACAGCTCTGATGGATGTAAGTAATGGCGGTGTGGATATGTTGTCTGGAGAACGACTTCTCGACCTCGAGTATGCGGATGATATTGTCTTACTGTGCGATGATGCCCAAGGCATGCAATCCGCAGGTACAGCATGTGCTTTGCACCCTCCAAGAGCAAAGTACTCCTACAAGACTGGCAGTATTCTCATCCTGTACTCACCCCGGATGGTGAGCAGATTGAAGTAGTTGAGAAGTTCGTGTATCTAGGTAGCTATATAAGTGCTGATGGTGGCGTGAGTAATGAGATTGATGCACGTATAATGAAAGACAGAGCGGCTTATGCCAATCTGGGCCATCTTTGGTGCCTTTGTGATGTTAGTCTGGCTGTAAAAGGTCGGATTTACAACGCGTCGGTGAGAGCAGTTTTGCTCTATGCTTGTGAAACCTGGCCTCTCCGAGTTGAGGATGTTAGACGTCTCTCTGTGTTCGATCATCGTTGTCTCCGAAGGATTGCTGACATCCAGTGGCAACACTATGTTAGTAATGCAGAGGTTCGGCATCGTGTGTTCGGGCGCCGAGACGATAATTCAATTGATGTCACCATCTTGAAACACCGACTTCGGTGGCTTGGACATGTTCTACGAATGTCGTACCAGAGACTTCCACGTCGTGCATTATTTGCCGACTCTGGGACTGGTTGGAAAAAGCGGAGAGGAGGTCAGTGTATGACATGGTGTCGTGGCATGAAAGAAAGCTGCAAAGGGCTAGCTTCTGCTGGCCCTTCACGATTCCCTGGCTGGGGTCCGAGAGATGGTGTAACACAGTGGCTAGAGACGTTATCAGATATGGCTCAGAATAGAAGCCAGTGGCGATCCTGCTGCAACCTTCTTTTACTTTCTACATAAAGAGTGGTTCTAACTTTCTTAACTGAAAGAGTCTTCTGGTTGTACATTTCAGTCCGCCTTATCTTTTCATCCCTTCTCTTCCTACTTTCATTATTTTGTGTGGCGCATATGTATCTGGTGCCCTTTTGTACCAATATATATGTGTTTAAATAAAAATAAAATAAATAAAATCAAAAATGCCCAAAAAAAATCAAGAGGGGAGGGTACCACCGAGGAGATCTTAGAGAGGTTCCTGTTTATCTACCGTTCTACACCGAACCCTCAAACAACAAATGGGGTCTCTCCAGCGGAAGCGTTACTTGGCAGAAAAATAAGGACACATTTCAATGTCATCCGTCCGACGCCAGCTCGTTAGCCCCAACGAAACTTATCGATGGAAAAGCAGTTCAATCGACACCATGGGGCACAAAGACGATTGTTCATGGTGGGTCAAAAAGTACTTGCTATGGATTATCGTGGTAAACATCCTACGTGGACAGCTGGTCGGATCGTGATAAAGAAAGGGAATGTGGTTTATGAGGTGTCAGTTGGCTCAGAAGTTTGGATACGTCATGCTAATCAACTGAAAGCAACTTCGATAGCCAGCAGCGAGAATCGACATCGAATACCTCTTGACGTTCTGCTAGACACCTTTGAAATCAAAACACCCGGAACAGACAAGTCAGTTTCTGTGCAAGCAAAGAGTGACACAACTTCCTTATTACCTAGACGATGAACAGATCGAAAGCGCAGGTCAGTCACTCGGTTGCAGTTGGACCCTAGCACCAGATCCTACGAATCTGCTCAAGGGGGAGGTGTTAGTGAGAGATAGATTGGACGTTTCATGTATGCATGTTTCATGCATGACGGTGTTGCTGCACGCTGATTGGCTAATTCTAAACCGATCAGCCCGAGCATATTATTGGAGAAAGATCTATAAGCTTCTTATGTATATACTATAAATATATGAACGTTATTCAAATCAGGATTGCTGTTCATATACCATTATTATTTTGAATACAATTTCATTCCTGTTCAACGTGTTCGGATTTTGGGGTCTTGTCGAGTGTCATCGTATAAGAATACTAAGCAATAGGAATAGCTTGGTTTATTAGCAAAAATACAATTATAACACTTAGGTTACTTCCCGCGCCCTCTATCTAAATGTTTAATCCACAAGGCAGTAGGGCAACGTCATGAGATAATATCCCATAGTAACCGGTGGCCAACAACAGGTTCATAAATAATTTGTTCTCTGAAGATTCTGAAGCCCATGTACACCACTTGTTTTAAATCAGGCTTTTCCAACTCCACTAGATGGATTGACGGTAACTACCAACCCGGTTAAAGCACCAGAGTTCCCTTTCCATTCTCACAATTTCGTAAACAACAGCCCTGACGCGATAAGATAGTAAGACTTCTGTGGTACTGGCTATATATGCGTAACCATATGACATTTCGGAAGAGCAAACTATCCACATCCTAAGCCATACCAGGGCATTTGGAGGCGTTATATAGCTATAGCGAATAAGGAGCCACATGTTCATTTAACATACTCGACAAGTTTACGAACACCAGTTTTACTATTTGCCTTTCATACACTATGTCGCCAATAAAGGAAACAGCATAGATGAAGCATCATGGTAATCAACATGAATAAACTCGAGAATGAAAATTTTAGATATTCGATCAACAGACGCCACGTTAAATAACAGTGAACTGCAATCCTTTAGACGAGAAAATTTCATGTTCAGAATTACAAAACCATTGGTCAAATAAAATTGATTCGGAGAAAACTTTCAAAAGGTGAACGTAATTTCAGGAAACCAATATAATTAGAAGACAATCGTTTGTTAAAACATGATACCGAAAAGTAAGACAGTAAAACTTACGATTTGCCAGTCTTCGAGTTCTCGTGGATCTATACCATCTGGGTTGTAAATCTGTCCGTCGATTTCAGCAATACCAATACATTTCGCACCAGCACGCACTAGATACCGCATTGTATGCAAACCAACATTCCCGAATCCCTGAACAATGAAAGTTTTATCCTTCAGCCCTGGGGACAAACCGATAGCATCTGCATACTTTGGGTTATTTAAGAAGTTGTCTATTCCATGATAAACCCCCTGAAAAGTTAAAGTGCAGCGGCTAACAGTAAAACGTTGGACATGGAAGTTCGTAATCAACGCAAATGGTATGATCACTGGCATTGTAATATAAAACAAAAAAGAGCTTGTAAGTCACCGGTACAACAAAACATTTTGCGAGTTTTTTAATTTCAAAGTAAATATTTGTTTAAACTTAGCTTGATTAACAGGTGGAAGTGATTATTAGACGATAATAACTTACGCGTCCTGTGGCCGAGATGCGACCGTGAATACCACCCATAGCGATGGACTTTCCTGTTACACAAGCATGACTGTGCATATCGTTGTGACCTACAAAAAAGCAATGAAGTTTCAAAACCGTTAGACGTAATATGTTTAAAACCTGGAACGGGCAGAGAAATAAGATGTATCTAAACGAACTAACATGAACTTATTAATAATGCGCAAAACACTAATTAACGATTAATTTTAACGTACCTACGGTGTTTGCATACGTATCTGCAATCCAACTCATCTCCCGAGGTCCAGTCCCCATATCTGGAGCAGGAACATCAGTTCCGGGACCTGAAAATTTACATGAGTTAATACGAACTAACCAAGAAATCCTTGTTTTGCCAACTCAAGAGCAAACCGACGGGTTATCCTTTCTAATTCTGCTGGAGAGTGGTCTTTGGGATTTATCTTGATTCCCCCCTTGGCGCCACCGAATGGAACATCTACGACGGCACATTTATACGTCATCAGAGCAGCAAGAGCCATAACTTCTTCTCTGCACACGTCCATGCTATACCGAATACCACCCTTAGTGGGTCGCCTGTGCACACTATGTTGAGCTCTAAAGCCTTGAATAATCTTGAATGTTCCATCATCAGCTTTGTGCGGAAAGTTAACTTCGAAAATGTGAGTAGGTGGCCGAATTATGTTGAGGGTCCCTTTGACAATTTTCGTCTTTTCATTGTCTGGCGCTTTTGATTGGAGTTTTGACATCAAATTTTGTTCAACAAGGGCTGAAGCTTTATCATAAAATCCTTCAACCATGAGATGAAACGGTATATCATCTTGTTCAGTGCTGTATAAACAGTTTGGAATGTTCACAAGACGGAAAATTGATTTTCGACAGAGAACTTTAGGCTTATGTATTAAATTATTAAGCAAACCCATCAACATTTTTGGAGGGAAACAACCTGGAAGGAAAATCAAAATGGTGAAACAACGGAGAAGTCAGACTCAAGTGATCGTATTTATGTATAATTTAACAGCGAGACTATGATTCATGGATTCTAGCGCATAATTCACTCATCCATACAGCTAAACAGCATTTTGGCACTGTATCTGATATAAATTAATGGTGAAAGCCCTAGCCTTATTTTTTAACCTCACTATCCAGCTGCGAAAATCTTATTTCTAATTCCTCACACTAATTTACAAACGTTATATGAAGTTATATGTATAACCCCAAAAAGTAGGTGGACATCCACAAGGTCACAAGAACCCGCACAAAGGCCGTTCATATAATATAGTATCGTCGACTATGAGGATGACACCTAAAAACAAAAGCAATAACGCAGCTGACCAAGCTTTCACTGAACCCGGTCTCTAACGAAACTATGCAGTATAACCGAGCCGAGCCAACGAACTTGAACAGTTTAAGGAGGACCTTGGATAAACCAATCAAGTACTATCCAATCAGAAAGTAGGGCATGTGAATGAATCGCATTGCGCAAAACAACGATGAAATTATACGAAATTTGGTTTCCAAATTCCAGTATTTGAGGATCATATTTTTAAATACGACGCTTTACCGACAAGGATTGTAAATGCAACGGACGCATTCCTACAGTTGAAGAACATATGGAACTCAAAACAACTGTCGGCAGGCCAAAACCAAAGCCAGAATCTTCAATACGAACGTCAAGACAGGTAGTTATATTGTACGGAGCTGAAACTTGGAGAATTATTACAATCATAATGAAAACAGTACAAGTATTTGTAAACAATTGTCTATTCAATATTCTCAGTTTCCGTTGACAGGATACCATCAGCGATAGCCTACTGCGCGAGAGAACGGACCAACTTCCAGCTGAGGAGGAAATCGAGAAGGGAAACTGGAAGTGAATAGGACACACATAACGGAAATCAACAAGCTGCGTCATGAGGCAAGCGCTAACTTGAGATTGTGAATGGAAACGGAAAAGATGAGGACCTGTAGCTGTAAATAATTCCCCAAAATCAATAGCTTTCTAAGTGTCCGACATTGGATGCTGACCACGTTGTTCAAGTGGACTTGTTTAACTGTAGGCTTTCGGTCATGCATCCGCACCAGATCACGTTTCAACTCGGCGTGGGACACTGCTCCTACGTTCATTAGCCAGCTTATAGTAAAGGTTCCTCGATATATTGGTAACGAATCAAATATATCTTTCCTGCCTCTTCTCGTCTGACTTCTGATTTACTTTTGTCGGGAACGATCGATTATAGAAGATACTACTGGTAGCTAGTTGTAAAACTAGAATAACCGTTGTATCCTCAGTGGTGAGACAGACGTGATCTGGTACACCAAGTCAATATACTGTGAGTCTGTTCCATTTTGGAATATTATTATTCATTGTTATTTTTTATTTGAATTTTATATATTGCGATATACAGTTTTTTTCGCGAACTTTTTCCCCGGATATATTTTAATTAGACATTTTTCGTTCTCTATATTACTATGACGGAACACTCACTTAAGGTTCTTAAGTCTAAGTCTATTCCCCCTATTTCGATTCAGTTAACGCCATTTTGGCCCGACAATATCGAGTCCTGGTTCTGCTATTCAGAAGCCGATTTTTGCATGCACGGAATCACGGACTCGCGCACACGTTTCCTCGCGGTAGTTAAGGCGTTACCGCGCGAGTTTAACAGGTACTTAACACCTAGTATGTTTACTAGTGATGTTCCCGAACCTTACGAAACTCTCAAATGTTCGATTCTAAAACGTAGAGACCTAACCGACCGACAACGGTTAGACCAACTCGTCCATAACATCGACCTGCAACATGGTTCTGCATCTGCCGATCGAATCCTAGAAATCACTAGATCTTCTAAGGCCGAGGTTATTTCCGTTGAAGAAGAACCCCAATCGACCTCGACTGACATAACCGAACTATGTCACAGGCTTACACGATATCTTGGAGTTCGCAATGACTGTAGTCGGTCAAAAACCCCGCTTAGAAGCGTTTCACGTAAGCGATTTGGCTCTCGACCACGAGAGACAGACAATCCCGACTGGTGCTGGTATCATAACCAGTACGGTAAGTTTTCCAGAAATTGCAGGAAACCCTGCAAGTATCCGACCTCAAAATCGACTGACACGAATAAGATTTCGGGAAACTTCCCAGCCGGCACACGTTAACGGCAGCCGTAGCCGGCGAACACAGCAGCCTCTTATATGTCACGTATGTGACCACGAAAGTTCGCTACCTCTTCGACACTGGCGCAGAAGTTAGCGTTCTTCCAGCAAATCCCGACGACAGACTTCGCGAGTCTGTTTTAAGTTTACAGGCGACAAACGGAAAGCCGATTGCTACTTACGGTAAAAGGTACGTCTACCTTAACGTGGGTTTACGCAAACCCATACACTGGATTCTCATGGTTGCAGACGTCTCCATGCCAATCATTGGTATAGACCTGTCACAATACCACAATCTACTAATCGACACACGCTCACGAAAGTTAATAGACGGAAACACTAAGTTATCTGTTTGCTTAACTTCTTGTTCTGGTTGCAGGTTATCCCCAGTCACGATTAGGCACACCATAGACCCCTTGTACCAATCAGTACTCGACAAATACCCCGGGATATACCAATCGCAATCGAAATTGCCTTGTGTAACCAGCAATGTTACACATCACATCTCGACTACAGAAACACCTGTATTTTCGAAAGCTCGAAGACTCGCTCCCGAGAAGCTTAAGTTAGCTAAAGACGAATTCAACCACATGATGGACCTAGGGATAATTCGACCATCGAATTGTCCATGGGCATCCCCATTGCACATGGTCCCTAAAAAGGACAGCAACGATTGGCGGCCAACTGGTGATTATCGGCGTCTGAATGCTAAAACCATTCCCGATCGTTACCCGCTGCCTCATATTCACGATTTGACAGCCACCTTGAAAGGTACAACTGTCTTTTCGAAAATCGACTTGGTTAAAGCTTATAACCAAATCCCGATGGCACCTGACGACATTCCTAAAACCGCCATCATCACTCCTTTCGGTCTTTACGAGTTTCTACGAATGCCTTTTGGTTTAAGAAACGCGGCTCAAGCCTTCCAAAGGTTTATAGACGACGTCTTCCGAGGTCTCAACTTCGTACATGCGTATGTTGATGACTGTCTAATAGCAAGTCCGGACAGAGAATCGCATCTCAAGCATCTGGACATTGTTTTCGATCGACTCCAAAGGCATGGCATTACTGTCAACATACAGAAATGCCAAATCGGAATCAACTCCTTAGACTTCTTAGGACACACCATTGATGCCCAAGGCATCCGACCCCTTAGAAGCAAAGTGACGGCCATTCTGGATTACCCAGAACCGACCACGATCAAGCACTTACGAACTTTCAACGGACTTGTAAGTTTCTACAGACTGTTCATACCTAAATGCGCATCCCTAATGAAACCGTTAACCGATCAGCTTCGTGGAAATGCGAAATCAATTAGTTTAGACGACATAGCCCGTAAAGCATTTTCCACATTTAAGGAACACATCGCTCAGGCAACTCTGCTTGCTCATCAGGACACTCAAGCGCCCATTAGTATCGCCGTAGACGCATCCGACTCAGCAATCGGAGCAGTCTTACAACAATGGGTTAACAACTCGTGGCAACCTTTAGGATTTTTCTCAAGACGGTTGCTAGACGCGGAATCTAGGTACAGCACGTTCGGTAGAGAACTCCCAGCTATGTATTGTGCTATACGGCATTTCCAACATTCCATCGATGGAAGAGAATTCACGCTTTTTACCGATTACAAACCTCTTACCTTCTCTTTAAATTCATCTTCAGACAAGTACTCACCGCGAGAGTCTCGACAACTCGATTACATTTCGCAGTTTACTTCAGACATACAACATATTTCTGGAGCTAACAATGTAGTCGCAGACGCCTTGTCTCGAATAAGTTCCTTGAACAGTTTCCAAGGAATCGTCCTTCTTAAACTCGCTCAGCTTCAAAAAGAAGACATTGATCTTCAGTATGAGTTATCCTCGACAACTCTAAAACTAAGTATTAAGCAGATGAGAACAGGTAAGGAAACCTTACTCTGTGACACATCTACAGGTAGGGATCGTCCAATAGTACCAAAACATTATCGCCGCAACGTCTTCAATACGTTGCACAATCTTTATCATCCAGGTGCTCGTGCAACAATCAAACTTATAGCCGAACGCTATGTTGGCCTGGCATGAATAAGGACGTGAGGGAGTGTACACGCTCCTGTGTAAGCTGTCAGAAATCTAAGGTCATAAGACACAACAAATGTCCCTTAGGCTCTTTCAAAACCCCTGACGCTCGTTTCGACCACGTCCATCTAGATTTGGTATGACCCTTACCCGACTCAAACAGATACTCATATCTCCTAACATGCGTAGACCGTTTCACTCGATGGCCAGAAGCAGTACCGATCAAGGACATTACTGCTGAAACCGTGGCCCGCGCTTTCATTGAACGATGGGTAGCAAATTTCGACTACCCTTCCACAATCACAACAGACCGCGGACGCCAATTCGAATCTGGACTTTTCCGTCGACTCACCTCACTATTAGGAATCACGCGCTTCCGAACGACCGCCTACCACCCACAAGCAAACGGGTTGGTAGAACGTTTTCATCGACAATTAAAAGCTTCATTATCAGCTTCCAACGTTTCACAGTGGACAAACGCTCTTCCACTCATCTTGCTAGGTATCCGCAATGCAGTGAAAGCTGACATTGGATACACTGCATCTCAACTCGTTTACGGGACGACACTCCGAATTCCAGGGGAATTCGTGGATCCTTCAGCTTCTTCATTGAACATGGATCTAAACTCTTACACGAGTAGGCTTACAAACGCGATGCGTTCAGTTAAACCTGCTCACACTCGACCTCAATCAACTGATGTTTTCGTTCAACCCGAATTACGACACAGTACACACGTCTTCGTTCGTCGAGAATCAAATCGGCGACCTCTCGAATCAGCACACCGAGGACCATTCAGCATTCTTCAACGCGAACCTAAGTACTATGTAGTATATAAGAACGGTACGAACGATAGCATCAGTATCGATCGACTCAAAGCAGCGTACTTAGAAGGAAACCGTAGCTACGTCGATTTTCCTTCGGTACAAGCAAACGACACAGCCAATACACTCGTAGCACCCTACACGACAACCGACACAAAACTTGATACTTCGTCAACATCGATAGATAGACCTAAAACAACGCGTTCTGGAAGACGAGTAAGATTTCCAGAACATCTTAACGAATATTGCACGTAGGACGCAGGTTTTATCTTGAAATACCCTTTCATCGTTTATTATAGAAAAAAATTTTTTAATGTGCTCATTTTTTATTTATACAAAA